GGGCCACGTTTTCACCCTGAAACAGACGCCGTTTGCTGTTCTCACGCTGAGGCTCTGCAGGGAGGCCGCCATCCTCCCAGCGCTGCTGGCAAACTAACAGGAAACAGGCAGGCGTGTCGCTCACCTGCTGTCACGCCGCGGCCCACAATGCACCTCTTCCTCCTGTAATCAGGGCGCCGGCGCGCGCCGCCTTTAGGCCCCACAAACGCCTCGTTTGAAGGCTGGAGAGTCGGAGGAGGAGGCTGGGGGCGCTGACGGTACGATGTAAGAGGGGAGGGGGGGAGGAACCGCTTCAGAAGTTTTTAATGAGGCCTGGCGCTCTTCCAGGGCCCGGGGGGGCGGCGGCGTGGGGGGGGCAGGGCAGAGCAATGGGGGTGCTGACTGCCAGCAGATGTCACAGTGACACCCTGACCCCCCCACACCGATCCGCTGATGCTGCTCTGCACCAAGTCAGAGCTGGAGTTTGCTTCTTTTGGGTGAGCTGTGACCTGGATGGAGGCGCCCAGGGCACCGTGCGCCCAGCTCTGAGGAAACAGGGTTAGGGTCAGGGTTAGGGTTAGGGACATCTCTTTAGGTTCAGGATCGGGGTAATCCCTTCAGGTCCACTCAGGAGACTGTGTCCCTTCGGCTCCTTTTGGGCTGCCATAGTTCTAGTGTTTCCTGAGGGGAAACGGTCTGCTGTCTGGACCTGGTTTGGTTCTGGACTCAGTTCATCCAGAGGTGTCCAGCTTCTCTGATGTCAGTTCTGTGGCAGCCTGACCCAGACCCAAACCAGAGCCTGACCCAGACCCACAGAGAAGTGGGTCCGGCTGTGGGTGAACTGTCTGACGCTGCTCCCTGGTCCGCAGACGCCGTACCACGTCAACCTGCTGCTGGCGGGCTACGACGAGGCCGACGGGCCGGGCCTCTTCTACATGGACTACCTGTCGGCCCTGGCCAAGGCGCCCTTCGCCGCCCACGGCTACGGCGCCTTCCTCACCCTGTCCATCCTGGACCGGTACTACAAACCAGGTCTGCTGGCACGCCGTCCCTGGGGGGGGGGGGTCTGGACCAGGTCTGAGTCAGGTCTGAACCAGGTCCCTAATTGTTGTGTGTTGCAGATCTGACCCGAGAGGAGGCCGTGGACCTGCTGAAGAAGTGCATCGAGGAGGTGGGTGTGGGTTCCTCTGTGGGTCGGTTCCTCTGTGGGTTCTTTCCAGGTTCTAACTGCTTCTCTGACCTCCTGCAGCTCAACAGACGCTTCATTCTCAACCTGCACTCCTTCAACGTCCGCATCATCGACAAGGAAGGCATCCACGACATGGAGAAGCTGACCGTGGACGCCAAGTGACACCAAGTGACTGCCAGCCCCTTTTGTACCTCTTACCAATAAAAAGTGACACCGTGGAGGTCCAGACTCGTCTTTGTCCTGAGCCGGAGGCCCAGAGCAGCTTCTGCCCCAATCATTGTATTATAATTAACAACTGTTACTTCTGGAAGCCAGAATGAGTGTTTTATTCACATCCAGTGAAATAAGGGAATAGATTTAACTCTGTTGACATGCTAGCATAGTTTAGGCAGCCCAGCCGCAGCTGGTGAATCCGTAGGTTACAGATGTTCACCACGGCAACCAGCCAGCCAAACATTCCATCATGGCTGCCCCCTGAAAGGGGAGGAAATCGCCAAGGCAACCAGCCAAACATTCAATCATGGAAAAGGAGGGGATCACCACCGCTAACCCTCATGACCGCATGCACCCCCACACATCTGGCCCTGCCGTTAGCATCATGCTAGCTTATAGCTAGCCGCTAAAGCGCTTCCCTGCTGGTATCCATCCATGTGGAGCCAGAGGGTGCTGGTCCGGCCACAGGGCTGTAACTAACAGCCATCCGGACCCATCAGGCTGAAACGGAGGCCTCGGCTCGGCTCAGAGTTTTCTGAGTAAACGTGTTGGTTGCTGTGAATTTTCTCTCCTTTGTTTGGTGACTGACGTGAGCTGTTTGTGATGCGGCATCCTGCCAGACGGCAGCGAGGTGTAATCCCCGGAGCCTCGGTCGGGCTCCTCAGGAACGCCTCGGCTCCTCAGGTGTCGACGCCAGTCGCCTAATTCCACTCGATAAAAGGCTTCTGTGAGCGCACGTGGCCCAGGTGTCACACTCGCACACTTACACTTTGAGCAATAACACACAGCAGCTCAGCACAGCGTGAAATAATTACCGCTAACCTCTGATTTACATTCTCAGCTCGATTCTGTGGCTCTTTGTTCCGTCGTTGGATTCGATGCTGCTCCGTTAAACTTCCTGCTTCACATCTCAGTGGGAGGCTTCTGTCATTTTTTATGTCTTTGTTTCTAAAAATGTCTCTGTAAAAACACGGTTCTCACACAGCTGCTGTACCTGGGAGTCATGTGACCCCCTCCACCCCTCCCCTCCACTCCACTCTGTTTAACCAGGACAAGACCCAACACAGTCTCGGCTTTCCAGGGAATAAACGCTGCTCAGCATCTCAAACATCTCCCCTTTCTACCTGCTGTCTGCTCCCGTCTCCTCAGCCTCCGTCACCCCTCCTCCACCCATCCCTTCCTCCCCCCCCCCCCCCCCCATGCACATCTCACCCCGTCTCCAACGCTCAGCGGGCCGCTCGCCGCCTCTCGCCGCCTGCAGGCAAACATATGCCGCTCTTCCCATCAGATTCCGGAGTGTTTCAGAGGGTTGTTTAATGTTTATTAATCACCTGTCTGCAGCACCGAGGCAACGCGCACGCACCCGGCGTGCACGTGCACTCTAACGCACGCCGCCTCTGCTGTTTGTGGAGCCGCAGAGCTAACAGTTCACACAAATAACAGCCTGATCGGTGTTATCACACAGACTTTTACACTTGTTTCAAATGAAGGAGCCAATGAGGAGAGTTTCTCCCGAAAAGCTTCAGCTAGCATGAGCTAGCATCAGCCCTTCCCAGCCAAGCTGTTAGCGTTAACTACTGGTAAAGATAACAGCTCAGGAAATAAACCCAGATAATTATTTAGCAGCTGCTTCACTTCCAGCTCTGACAGCTGGACCTGATCCCTTTGTGGCTGAACCTCTGCAGGCCAGCGTTGAACTGAACCCAAGTGTGAGCTAACCCATAGTTAGCTCTGCTGGAGCATTGCCCTCAGACAGAGCTCATCCTCTGGGCTCTAGATATTCCAGCTTTAAAATGTTAGATTTTGTAACGTTGAGCTGAAGGGAAACCTGTGAATCAGAGTTTGTTCCATCTGATGAAGGCTTCAGAGCCAAACTGAACCCCAGAACTCCTTCAGAGGAAGTTCAGAGGCTCCTCTGAACCCTGCTGCTTCCTGCAGACCAGGACTGGTCCAGCCTCCAGTCTTGTTAGCTTCTTTTAGATGTTCTGGACCGTCTAAAATCATCATAAGATCCAGATTCACTGAGGAAATGCAGTAAAATGAAGCGGAATTGAAGTTTTTGTACTTTATGCAGGTCAACAAAAAAACCATCGTAACAGTTTTTGAAATATCCAAGAATTTACAATATAATCAAAATGGAAGTAAAAAGGTTCTGAGATACCTGAAAAACACTCCTTAACATCCACCATCAGCTCTAATTCTTTAATAATATATTACATTTATGCTGTAATACAATAATAATAACAACAGTAATAACATTAATAATAAACAGACACAAAGTACAAAATGATTTGTGTTACTCGTTTAAATTACCAACACGTGGAACTAAAGAAAACAGATCTGTTAGCTGCCCTCCGTCTCCTCTCCCCACTGACAGACTCCATTTCCCATGAGCACCTGCTCCAGGTGCGGCCTGGGTGGCTCGGTCCGGCGTGGAGCTGGTGGCCGATATGGCTTCTGAGGCTTCGGTCCGGTTCTGGGCGGTCCCACCAGGACCAGGACTCTGTCCCTTTAAAAGGGACTGGTGGTGGGTCTCGGGGTCAGAGGTCGTGTGTGTGATGTCATCAGGTTGGACACACAAGAAGTGAACAAACAGGAAGTAGAGAAAAGCCTCCTGAACAGAAGGGAGAAGAGAGGTCCATGCGGGGTGGGGCGGCAGATATCGTGAGCCCCGCCCCTCGGTGGGAGGGGCTTCCTGAGGTCAGAGGTCAGTCCCCCCCTGCCCCGCCCCTATTTGCGGAGCTTCAGGTCCTTGTCGTGGAGGCCCTTCCCGCCGTTCTGGGCCTTGTCCAGCAGCTTGAGGGCCTCCAGCAGGTAGCTTTGGAAGGCGGCCAGCGCGGCGCCGATGGCCGGCCCCCCGAAGCCGTGGGTCAGCAGGCTGAAGTGGGTCAGGCTGGCCTGCACGCCGGCCTCCAGGCAGGGCGCCGGCCGGCCGCCGCCCAGCGGGGACCGGTCCTGGGACAGCAGGTCCAGGAACTCCTTACAGATCTCCCTGAGAGGGGACCAGAGGTCAGACAGCATGGGACAGGAACCTCAGATCCCCAGAACCTGAACCCTAAAAACCCAAACCCCAGAACCTGAATCCCAAAACCTAAACCTGAAAAGAACCTTCAGAACATGAACCCTTAAAACCAGAACCTGAGCCAGTACCTGAATCCCTAAAACCAGAATCCCAGAACCTGAACCCCAGAAGCTGAACCCTCAGAACTTTAGAGCCACTCACTTTGTGGCCAGCAGCATGCTGCGGCGGGTCGGCAGCTGGTCCGGGTCGCCCTGCCTGCACAGGTACTCCGCTGTGGCTCTGGCTGGAAATTCGGTCTCACACACGTAGCCGAAGTCCCTCGCCAGGTGGACGGCCTCACCTTCAGAAAGGGGCAGCCAGCATTAGCATCTAGCATTAGCATCTAGCACTAACAACTAGCATTAACAACTAGCATTAACGGCATGCATTAGCAGCCAGCATTAATGGTCAGCATTAACAGTCAACATTAGCATCTACCATTAACAGCTAGCATTACTTGCTAACATTAGCAGCTAAAATTAACAGCTGAAATTAATAGCCAGTATTAGCAGCTAGTGTTAACAGCTAGTGTTAGCAGCTAGCATTAGCAGATAATATTTGCAGATAGTGTTAGCAGCCAGCATTAGCAGTTAATGTCAGCAGCTAGTGTCAGCAGTAGGCCATCAGATGAGTGGTTAAACAGACTCAAGGACCCAGAAGAAGTCTGGTTCTGGGTTCTAGTGGTTTGGGGGCTTTCTGAGCATGTGCAGTCCACACAGCACCGCCCTCTCTGTGACATCAGCTCCCATCTGGTCACATGACCTCCCCATAGCGTCCAGAGTCCCACTCCCCCCCCCAACAGAGGACGTTTTCCTCCCGGCTGGTCGGCTCTGCGGCGTGCACGTACGTGCGTGCGTGTGCGTGCCTGCAGCCATCCGCGCAGCCTGTTTATTCATGTGAGCTCATGCGAGGACGCCTGTGCGTGTCGGGCTGTATACGGGTCACCCCGTGCACGTGTGTGTGTGTGTGTGTGTGAGTGTTTGTGTGTGCGTGCCTACCCTCCACCAGCGACGTCAGCAGGGTGACGTTGGCGGCCTTGCGGCGCCCGGCGGGCAGGTTGAGGCCGATCTTCTCCAGACGCTCCCGCAGACAGCGGCCGCCGTTCTTGGACTTCGCCCTGAGGAACCAGAACCAGAACAGGTCCGCTTTGTAAGCCGTTGTTGAAACCTCACTTTATTACTATTCTCTATCACTAAAATTATTATTATTATTACAAAAATACAATACAACTTTTTTTTTACATGTTTGTATATCTGGTAATGATCTTTTTACTGGTTTATTGCACCTATAATATTTGATGAACAGCGATTTGGGCAGATGTATCATTATTATTATAATCATCATTAATAATAATAACAATAATAGTAATATTAATAATAATAATAATAATGCAGCTGTTGTTAAATGTGCTGTATAACTAAAGTTGACTTTGACATTTGAAATCTGACCACATTTCTTTTCCAGCTCCTGCAGAAACCTTCAGTCTTTCTCCCACATTTTGTTATTGCATTTTAAATAAGTCATTAGTTTAGTTTTTTTTCCTGTAAAGTGGGAGTTTTGGGCAACACAGAAAGCCCCTCAGATCCTCTAATCAGGCCCTCTTATGTGTTTGAGCCTCAGACTGGAGTCACAGACTGGTTCCCGTCCCGAGGCAGAGCTTCATTAAACCACATCGCTTCTCTTGTGATTCAGTCTCATGACCCAGTTCGGCTCCTCAGCTCCCCCCCCCCAGGCAGAAAGCAGAGAGCTTCTGTTTGGAAAAAAGCTTTAAATGTCCTCCATGTTCCTCTGAAGACTGTTAAGGCCTGAAGGCGCCTGATGGAAAGCGTGTGGACGCAAACAGGCTCAGATTATTTAGGCTTCAGTCATTTTACTGTAAAAAAAAAAAAAAATGTGGATCATGAGCTCCGTGGTCCTGTTTGGAGCAGGTTTCATTTAATTTCAACATCTGAGCATTTGATCCAAACCAGAGTCCAGAGAACTCAGAGTTCTGCTGGTTCTCCTCCAGAATGAGTCTTCATTTCCTGGAAATCAGCTCTGATCCAAACCAGAGTCCATCTGTTAGAGTCCAATAGATTTGGAGTTTTTAATTTTGGGGTTTAAAAAGTTTCTGCTGCTGTCGGCACTTCCTGTTGTTGCAGGAAACTCCTCTGAAATCCACCTCATGTTTATTCTTTGTTTCATTTCTAACACCCAGACGAGTTCAGGTGAGTTACAGGTTATTAGAGTGAACCCTGAACTGGTTCTCACTCGTTCAGCTTTCTGTAAGAAAGGTGAGATTTGAGTGCTTTAAAGGCCCAAACTGAGCCTTTGGTGTATGTGTGGTTATATAATGTCACACATCCTGTGGAGGGGAACTCAGTTCAGAGCAGAGTTACTGATTCATCCTCACTGACCTGCAGCTCTTTGTCACAAACTAAAACGGAATTGATCAAAATTAAGCCGCACGGTTCCTTCAGCTGGACGGTTTACTTAAACTACCCATGATGCTTTGCTCTGATCAGACAGCTGACAGGTTTTCTTTTTCTTTTGGTCTCACGAGGACAAAGGTTCTTTATCTGTGTTTACTTTTCTTTTCTGTTTAATTTTGTTTTCTTTGGTTTTCTGTTTAATTTAATTTACCGTTGAATTGAATTTGTTTATTTTTGTTTTTTGTTTAATTTAATTTTCAGTTTAATTTTATTTGTTTAGTTTGGTTTTTCTGCTTACTTTCGTTTTGCTTATTTTTATTTTCCGTTTATTTTGTTTGTTTATTTTTTTGTTTTTCTGATTATTTCTGATAATTTGATGATGTTTTCTGTTTATATTCTGTTTAATTTAGTTTTTCATTCATTGTTGTTTTCTATTATTTTTTGCCTATCTTTTTAATGATGTTTTCTGTTTTTATTTTCTGTTTTTTTTGTTTATTCTGTGTATTATGATTTTTGTTTATTTTCTTGTTTGTTGTTTTCTGTTGCTTTTTGTTTTGGAATTTATTTGTTTTTCTGTTTATTTTTTGTTTGTATAATTTAAATTCTGTTTATTTTTGTTTTACTGTTTTTTTCTATATTGTTTCTTTTTTTGTATATTTTTGTTTAGCTGCATTCTGGTTAACTGTTTTAATTCTGTTTCCTGTTTTCCTCCCACTCTGTTTTTTTGTATCTAAATGGTTGGGTCTCAGTCTTTTCTCTCCACTGATCCACAGCCTGTTTTGTTCTTTTTTAAATCATCTGATGGAAATCAGTTCTTCTTCAGAGCATCACTGCGTGTTCACAGCTCGTATTTCACAGTTTTAAATGATTGAGAACTCATTCTGGTTCTGACCGTCACTCGTCACTTTAAACCCCAGATGCCCCCCACCCCCCACCACCACCACCACCTGGCTGGACTCACCTGCGCAGCACTCCGCCCAGCAGGGAGGCGTTCAGGCACTCGGGGGGCGACAGCCGCCGCTGCACCTCCCCCACCGTCACCTTGTACTTGGAGTTGGAGCTGAGCAGCGACAGGCGGCCCGGGACGGAGCAGAAGACCTCGGCCGGGTTGGACACGGCGCCCATGCCCAGCCCCTCCTTCCCCATGGACAGCGCCGACAGGGCCGAGCCGTTCAGCTTGGCCGGGATGGGCACTGGGGAGAAGGGGGGGGAGACGGGGGGGGAGACGGGGTTAGCGGCGGCTCTAAATGCGGAGCGCCATCAGCTCTGAGCAGCTGCTGCTCCAGGCGGAGCTTCGCAGCGAAAATAGCTCCACTTCTCACCTCCAGCAGCTCCTTTGCACTCACTTTTCTCCACTTTCCTCCCCATCATCAGCTCAGCTACATTTATCTCTGAGCTCTCTACCAGCACACACCCCTCTAACGTCCTGAAGGTAGAAGCAGGAGTTCTAAGGAAGCCAAAGTCCCCATAAGGACTAACTTAACTTAACTCAATACTAACTTAACTTAACTCAACCCTAACCTAACTCAACCTTAACTTAACTTTACACTAACTTAACTTCACTTAACTCAACCCTAACTTAACTTTAACTAAACCCTAACTCAACTTAACCCTAACTTAAGTTGACTCAACCCTAACTTAACCCTAACTTAACTCAACCCTAACTTAACCCCATAAGAAGGAAGGACCTCTTCACTGGAACACTCTGATGGACTGGGCCTGCAGATGCTCCCTTCAGGGTGAGCAGCAGCAGGTTTGGGGCAGAACCCTGAACAGGATTGACTCTCAGAGCCCAAACGGACCGACTTTCAGCTGCACAAGGACAGAAACGACCGGGTAAAACGACGCAGAAGCCCTAAACCTCCCCCAGGCTCTGGGCAGCTTCACGCTTTGTTTGGGCTCTCAGACATCAACACGCTAAAATACTGTCCAGGATTAAAACTGTTCCACAGCTTTTAAAAAGGTTCAATGTTCTTTTACATGAGGGATTCATGAACCCATCCACTAAACATAACCAGGACCACCACAAAAAGACACTGCTGAGTCCTCCACTCGCTTCTTCTTCTGCAACGTGATCTGAACTCTTCTTCTACAGTTTACTTCTTATTTACTTCTATGTTCAGTTTAATTTCATCGTTTCAACTTGTTACTTGTCGCTGCTTCATGGTCATACATCTTAGTCTCTGTGTGTTGCTTCCTAGATCTTGGATCCTATCTTTTGGTTCCTACCTCTTGGTTTCAACCTCTCAGTTCCTTTGTTCCTCCTGTCTTCTGGGGTTCGGTTCTTTAACTCCAGCTCAGTCTGAATCAGATGAATCGGGTCTCTATTCTCTCAGCTTTATAAGTCAGTTCTAAACTGATATAACTAATTTCCTTTAAACGTTACTGGAGAAACTGGAAGGTGGGACGGTAACATCTCATCCTGTGGACAGAGGGATGAGCCGTTAGCTCGGATTGGGTTTAGTTTGGATTTCTGTGGCTGCTCCAGCTGTGGAACATCTGGAGCCTTTGAGGCTCTGCTCGCTCCCCTTTGGACTGTTTTGTCCCCTGCAGCCGCCGTCTCTTCCCATCACCCTGCTGTGCTCTACAGTCCCCCCCCCCC